GTGGCTTCTGTCCTATGGGGTGGCGAGATTCCATTCACGCCAAAATCAGTGGGCCGCCTCAACTGTCACGCACAGGCGGGTCCCTGGCCACTGGCTAGCTTCCGTTGCTGCGTTGGCTCGGTCCTTCCCACAGAGCCGCAGCCCAGCCTCTCACCCTCAGTGTGTGGGGAGCCACTGGGTGGGATGGACGCTTTGGCAGCTGGGAAACCGAGTAAGTCCGTGGACGGAGCCACAGTTGGAGCCGCCTCCCCTTCCCACTTGGAGCCGCCTGCCTCTCGCCCTCCCCGCGGCTGCAGGAAACCCAAGCAGCCCACTGGAAGGGGAGGCGGTTGAGAACCCCTCCCCTTCCCTGTCAGGGCTGCCTTGCTCACCCTCCCCACACAACGGGTGGCCACGGACGACCTCCAGAGGCCTCAGTGCCACCTTTCCCCGCCCAGCCACCGAGGCCGATGCATGGGAAAAGCCCTCCGAGGCGGTTGAGCGGGAGCAGCTGACCAGAGGCCCCCCCGCCCCCTCCTTGCCCGCACACCAAGGCAAGTGAGCCGGGAAGGGGACGGGGAGCCCTTTGCAGTCCTCCCTGTTAGTTAGCTCCAGGCGAGGCGCCCGAGCAGGAGAAGCCGCCCAGAGGGCCCCTGTCCCCAGCCACCAAGGCCAGCAAGCCTGGAGGGGCCCGGGGAGCCCTTTCAGGCCCTCCCCCTGGGTTCTCCTGCCCTCCCACCAAGGTGGATGACCAGGAGCCACCCAGAGGCCTCCGGCCCCCCTCTTTGCCCAGCCGCTGAGACAGCCGAGCCAGGAAGGGGCCGGGAAGCACTTTGGGCACTCCGGTCCGGAGAAGCGGCCTCGCGGGAGGGATGGGGCACCTGGCAAGGTAGGGGTATTTTTGCCTCAGGCTGCGGAGGCAGTGGCAGCAGTTGGAATGCGCCGGGCTGGGCAATCGGAGTGGCCTTGCACCACCACCGGGGTCCAGCCATTCAGGCAGCCAGGAAGGGCGTGCAGTCGGGGTCTGCGGCACCCACGAAGGAAGAGGAGGTGGGTTCTCCTGACTTCCGGGAAGCAGGGGGGCCGGGTCCCGGGGCTTGGCCCACTGGGGCGGGGGGCCGGACAAAGCCAGGCGGCTTAGTCCACTGGGGCCTTGACCACGTGGGGGGGGCAGGCTGGGTGCCTTCGGCGAGCCAGGGTGGGAAAGGACGGAGATGGGGGCCCGTGGCCAGGCAGCAGAACTTGCGCCCATTCTGCAGGCTGGGACGAGCCCGGATGGCTTGGCCCGGTGGAGCCTCAATCTGGTGGTGCTGGCAGGGGGAGGGTTGAGGCCAAGCAGCCCACGCCCGAACGGCCAGCCTAGCGCTCGTTGTCTTCACACCCACAAAGGGCCTTCTTTCTAGTATAAACATAAGGTTAAAGCTTAATAAGGAGCTGCGGTGGCTCAAGTGGTTAAGACGCTGAACTGCAGGCTGTAGAAGGTCAGTAGTTCAGCAGTTCGAGACCCGAGTGTGCCGCATGATGGAGTGAGCTCCCATCTCTAGTTCCAGCTCCTGCCAACCTAGCAGTTCAAAAGCAAGAAATTGCAAGTAGATAAATAGGTGCCACTTCAGTGGGAAGATGACAGTGTTCTGTGCACCTTGGTGTTTAGTCATGCCGGCCACATGACCACGGAGATGTCTTCGGACAGCGCTGGCTCTTCGGCTTTGAAACGGAGATGAGCACCGCAACCCTAGAGTCGGATTCGACTAGCTTTCGAGCAAGGGAACCTTTACTTTTTACCTTTAAAGCTTAATAAAATGTCAAGTCTGTGTGACCATCCAGTGAGAAGTTCAAAAGTAGGCGCTCAAGTAATATCTGTAATCCTGTTAAAGCAGTGAAACATCTCTAACAACATTAAAATAAAGTAAACCAGGGAAAATAACTCGGAATATCTCTAGTGTGGCATAGAAACAGTTTTGTACAAAAATTTAAAACTTCTCTCTACCAATCCTAACCCAAAACTCACTTTTAAATATAATTTCCATTCCCTGCTTGTTTGTTCAAATAAATTTGATTTCAACTTCCAGTGTGCCTAGGTGCCTATTTTTGAGGGTGAATTTATAGAGGTAGAGACCCTCCTCAGTCACAGTTCCTTATTTGGGGTGTAAGCCAACAAAATATCAAAAGATAATAAGGTGGGACAACAGCATTATAACAAAAGTTTTATTTACCACATAAGAAGAGTGACACGCTACCTAATGGCTAGCCTATTATCAGGTGGGGAACTGAAAATTCATAAGGAGGTTGGAGGGAAAATCTGAGACCTTACAAGGATGTTTGTTTGATGGGAGTACCCAGCTGGTACACTTTAGTTGAAATGAGTCATAGTTTTGTGTGATGTCTCAGCTGAGCTGATATCTGCTTGTCATGCTGTAGGTTTACTGTCCAGAGGGGTTCTTGGTGGCCTTCATGTAAAACCAGCTTGATTAGCATTTACTTCACAGGATGCTGTGAAGAGGAATGAGAGGAAGATTTTAAAGCATTTTTTTAAAATTTATTTATTTAATTCGATTAATTCAGTAAAGCATTTAGGCATGATACAACTTCCACCCTCAACACATTTACTTACTGAAAGTCCGTCTGTATTTAAAATGCAGTCGTCCCCCCAACCCAGGAAAAACAAAAACAAAATCCTAAATACTTGCTTGTTTTCTTGCCTTCTAATTACTGTACAGGAAAATAGAAGGCCTATCTACATGCAAAATCATACAGGTGGCCTGTGGACACTACCACTCAGTAGCCCTGACAAAAGGTAATTGTTGGTTTCATTTGACTGTTATAAACAGCCCTTATTGTGTTACACAGTTCACATAAACGGGATGGCTTTCCATCTCTGTAGCTCTAATGCTGCAGATGTCAAAGTGTGCACTGGGAAATCCTGGTTGTTGCAGTTGTGACCTCTGATCTTTCTCTCTCTGTCCCCGGCTTCTTCCTCCTGAAACCAAGATGGCAGAGTCTTCTCCTGGGGGCAGAACAGCTACGGCCAGCTGGGAATCGGTAAAGAAGTCTCTTCCCAAGGTCGGCCGCAGCACATTCCTGCTCTGGATGGCATCCCGTTGGCCCAGGTGGCTGCAGGCGGGGCACACAGTTTTGCCCTCTCCCTTTCGGGAGTTGCCTATGGATGGGGAAGAAACCATATGCATCAGCTGGGTCTAAGTCAGAGTGACCCCAAAGGTATGGCTGTCTTTGAATTCTTCTTGGGTACATTCCCACATTGATGGCATCCTCTTACGGGTTTGAATGCATGACGATTTGGGGGTGTAAGGCAAGGAAGAGAAGGTCTTACAAGGAAACCAGGATCTGAAAACGTCAAAAAAAGATTCTGTTGAGGTTTCTGAGCCTATAATGGGCTTGTTTGTGCAGAGCGCAGCAAATAAAATTTATTTTGTGAGATCCTGCTGTGTTTATATGGGCTGATGGGTTGTAGTATCAAAAAGACTGGAATTTTCGTTTTCTCGAAGCACAAGAAACTGTGGCTGCAGTTCTGTGCACATGTATCTGTGAAGAAGGACCACAGAATGTAGTAAAATATTCATGAGATCAGGCTGTTCTTTTCCCAGCTAGAATGATCTGATTCTCTAAGAATGCTGTTTAGGAGATTGTCTAAAATTAGTAAATTGTCTAATGGAGTTTCCAAGTCATGCTGGAGGGGTAAAGAACAAGTAGGCGCTTTGATGCCTGTTTGGTGGAATTGTAAGATTAGACTGAGTGAATCGTTATAATACAATTCAGGGGAAATAATGGGTACGATGTAGAAGTCAGTCCAGTGATGTGTTGTGTTGTGTTAGGATAATAATCTCAAAAGCTTTTGAGTATCATAAAAAAGTAATTATTGGGTTTAGGTCAGTATGGGACCGTGCACCTGACCTGGATAGCCCAGGCTCGCCTGATCTCGTTGGATCTCAAAAGCTAAGCTGAGTTGTCCTTGGTTAGGTTTTGGATGGGAGACCACCAAAGGCAGCCAGGGTCACTACACAGAGGCAAACAATGACAAACTACCTCTGAACATCTCTTGACTTGTAAATCCTGTGGGGCCGCCATAAGTCAGCTGTGTAAAGGTAAAGGTTCCCTTGCTCGAAAGCCAGTCGAATCCGACTCTAGGGTTGCAGTGCTCATCTCCATTTCAAAGCCGAAGAGCCAGCGCTGTCCGAAGACGTTTCCGTGGTCATGTGGCCGGCATGACTAAACACCAAGGCGCACGGAACGCTGTTACCTTCCCACTGGCAAAACAGTAATGGGTTGTAGTATCATAAAGACTGGAATTTTCGTTTTCTCGAAGCACAAGAAACTGTGGCTGCAGTTCTGTGCACATGTATCTGTGAAGAAGGACCACAGAATGTAGTAAAATATTCATGAGATCAGGCTGTTCTTTTCCCAGCTAGAATGATCTGATTCTCTAAGAATGCTGTTTAGGAGATTGTCTAAAATTAGTAAATTGTCTAATAGAGTTTCCAAGTCATGCTGGAGGGGTAAAGAACAAGTAGGCGCTTTGATGCCTGTTTGGTGGAATTGTAAGATTAGACTGAGTGAATAGTTATAATACAATTCAGGGGAAATATTGGGTACAATGTAGAAGTCAGTCCAGTGATGTGTTGTGTTGTGTTAGGATAATAATCTCAAAAGCTTTTGAGTATCATAAAAAAAGTAATTATTGGGTTTAGGTCAGTATGGGACCATGCAGGCCCTGACCTGGATAGCCCAGGCTCGCCTGATCTCGTTGGATCTCAAAAGCTAAGCTGAGTTGTCCTTGGTTAGGTTTTGGATGGGAGACCACCAAAGGCAGCCAGGGTCACTACACAGAGGCAAACAATGACAAACTACCTCTGAACATCTCTTGACTTGTAAATCCTGTGGGGTCGCCATAAGTCAGCTGTGACTTGATGACAAAAGTTAAAAAATGGGACCATCCAGAGACTCCCAGCTGTTGAAACACATCTCAATAACTAAGAAAATAGTCTTCAATAACTCTCCTTTGCCTGTATAAAGAATTACAGCCTGTACTACCAGTGATTTTTGCCTCAAAGTTAACAACTCCTGGTTACACCTGACCTTTCCCTGTCTTTTAAATAAAATCTTTTGCTCTGTTTGACTTTTACATCGTCTCAAGTGCCATTTGAAGGGGTTCAACTCAAGAGGGCTCCTCATTCTTCCCTCAGGTTCCAGGGCTTGGCTGAGAGCCCAATTATATCTCTGTCACAGGGTGGGACAGACAGTCTTTTAAAGACAAAGAAGAAAACCACGTTACTTGGGGTGGCTCAGTCACAGAAGGGAACGAAATTTTGGAATCTACCTCTGAAGGAGGAAAGTGTGAGGGGCCGTCATGGAGGGGAATCTTTTACAACATGTACCCTAAGGATCCTCTGGTTTAGATTTGGCTTGTAGTTGAATGGGTCCTGTACATCTAATGGCTTACTAAAACCATTTGTTTGTAACTTCTATGGTGCAATTATATTTGTTCATTGTAATATATAGTTTATATTGTTATATGCTTGTGTCACAACACTTCATTGTATTGTTGATGCTTGAATAAATGAATAATAAAAAGAAAAATGTGATACGGTTTCCCAACAGAGCAGGTCTTCAAGCCGCACTCAGTGGCTGCTCTGAGGAACCTCGATGTGATCTACATTAGCTGTGGGGCTGAGCACACGGCTGTCCTCACGCAGGTATGCTTGAAATTAGTTTTCTTTGTTGCTAGAAAACTGTGCTCTGACATTCGGGAATGGTTTTCCTGGAAGCTAAGGGCTCATGGAAACGGGGGGGGCAACAGAATCCTAAAGGTGTTTATTCAGAGGTAAGTCCACAGAGTTCCCTGGTAATTACTCCCAAATAAGTATATATAAAGACCTGCAGCTTTAGATCAGGATGTGAGATCTGCCTGTTTGGTTTTATCCCACCCTTCCTCCAAGGAGATCAGGAGAGCATATTTAACTCTCCCCTGCCCCCTTTTGTCACCATAGCAGCCTTGTGAGGTGAAGGAGACTGACCGGCTTAAGGTCACCCCGTGAACTTCCATGGCAGCGTGGGGATTTCAACCTGGGCATCCCAGATTCTAGTCTGACAGTCTACAGCACACTGGCTCTTGTACACTCAGGTTCCATGATCCCCGGCATAAGCTCTTTTAGTAACCAGAGAAAACCCCTCCTTCCTTTGTCACAAGCAGAAAAGCTAATTGGACACAACCCATTATGATCCTCATGTAGAGACCACTGAAGAACACTCCAACATGGAGGTAACCCTATACAGCAACCGTAACTTTGCTAAACAGCTTTATAATGTGGTGTGTGGCATAATAGAAAGTCAGTGTTGTAACAACTTCAGTGTCAGACTAGACCTGGAAGACCTAGGCTTAAATCCTCACTCTCTCTAAATCTTCATCTACTTCACAGGGTTCTCTTAAGAGTAAAATGGGGAAGAGTTACATATGGTCAGGTCACCCCAATCTCCCCTCACATCCCAGATTATGTAATACTGTAACAAAACCTGCATCAAAAGATGCAAAAATGGGTCAGGGAGGCTTCGATACCCATAATGATGCAGATGTGCTTTACTTGCACATATAACAGCCCATTTCTTGTGGTTCTCCCATGCTGGATCAAGCATTGAGGGCTCAAGGTGCATTTGTTAAGCTGGGCTGTTGCAAATCAAAGTGTTTTGGTCAGGTGACATACCTGCATTTCTGCATGTGAGCATGGTCCAGCTATCTCAAGATGACTTCTTAAGATGTTTTGCAAGGATAGATAAAAATGAGAACTGAAAAGCATTTTGTTAAAAGTGGGGAAAGTGCTTATATTATTATTAACAAAAGTGGCTGTTGCACACTTATGCAGCTGTGGTTTGCTCAAACTCTAAACAGGATGGCAACGTTTTCACATTTGGAGATGATTCTGCTGGGCAGCTGGGGCGGAGCTCTTCCACCCAGAAAACTGGCCCCCAAAGAGTTGACTGGATTGGCGGTCCGGTTTCTCTTCTGGCATGTGGAAGGTATGTACCCTGGCTTGCATCCTGCGTTGTTTTTGTAAGGGAACGGGAGAAAGTCATGCAAGAATCACTGTAGATAACTTGTATGTCTTCCATGCTAGATGTAACAAAGCAAACAGTGCTTGAAGCTAGGGGGATATATTTCTGCTGCTAGTTTGTTTACCAAGAACCTTGGCCGGCAAGCAGGCCAGGCAGCTGATAAATAAATGAATGTGGTAACTCACAATCCCTGTTAAAGCCCGTTAAACTATGTTTATGGACACCAGAACGATAGAAGGCAACAAGCAAACATAAGTGAAGGTTACTCCTAGGCAGCCTTGTGACTTGCCATTTTTACGGGACTGAGTAGGAGCCACCATCATCTGAACCCCATATGGCAGACTGCCTCCATCACGGTCTCACCAGCAGAACAGCAACTGTACCGCAGCCTCCCTAGCACTGCACTGTGCTTCATAAAGGGGCCGTGCTGTAGAGTCTGTGCACCTCTCTCTAGCAAGGCATTAAACAGACAGTGAGCATTGTAGTACTAAAAGAGTGATATCTTCACAAGCAATTGGTGCTCTGAAGCGCAGAACAGTGTTGGTGGGTATATAGAAGGGGTCACACATGATCTCTGTGAACTCCCCTCCAATCTGTGGGGTGTGTTGGTAGGATTGCTCATTAAGGGACTGTTAGTTCTACTTCTTCATACGACTCCTTTTTGTTGTTAATATTCTGTTGGACTTGTGGTATGACCTTGCCAACAGACAGAAAGGGAGGAGAGAAACAGTGTGTGCATCAGAGGGGGGTCATACAGGAAAAGGTAAGTCCTGGTCCGTATAGCAGTCCTGTAGGTAACTCTTCTATCCTCCATTTTCCCATCTAACACTGCATTAGTTGGGATCCTCCTCTACAGTGACAACCCACCCACTCACACAAAAGTTCTGTTCATACAGTTTCTGTTTTGTCATGTAGGAGAGGGGAATTGCACCAACAGGACCATCACATCATGGGTCACTGTGGATCTCCTGGCTCACAAATTCCTTCAGATGTGTGTTGGGGTGGGGGAAACGTCTCACCTGATGGTGAACAGACAGTTTCTGTCATTACATGCACCTCTCTTGTTTTTCCCCCCCTCTAACAGCTATCACACTCTTGCTTATATCGCCGCTTCTGGTGAGCTGATATCTTTCGGACGTGGATACAGGGAATGTGGAACAGCTTCTTGCAAGCAGGAAGAGATGCAGAACTTTAACATTAGTGCACTTATTTCTGCTAATGGTATCCTTTTCTTCTTTTTTAAAATTAAAAAAAACCCTCTTTTAATCTTGTATACAAAGCACATTACACAGTGGCCATGATCCAGCCAGAATTGAACCCTTCCTTCCCATTTATTTCACTTGGAGAGTTTTAAGTATGTTCTCAGCTCTCCCGCTGAAATCAGTAACACCATAGGCCTCTATACGTGATCCCTCCATGCCTTGCCTGAACAAACATGGATGGACAGATGGACGTGAGTGTTTTGATCTTGCCCCCTGCATCTGCATGATTGACAGATCATCTGCAAAGTGCAAACGCTCAGAGTAGGTGGCCGTGCATACACTCCCTCCTTGTGATTGGGCACGCTGCTTTCCAAACACGGCCAATCACTGGATGGAGGAGGTTATGTGCAGACAGATCCAGGGGCAGGGCTATCATGCATGTCTCCACTCACTCACTCTGCATATTCAGTCAAGTTGCAGAGGGGTTGTGTGGATGGGTCTGCTGTTGAAGGAACAACAGTGTGCTCTACATTTTTGGTATGAGGTTCAGACAGAGTCCTTAGTAAGTCATAGAATTTTTTTTAAAAAAACCCCGTGGGGATTGTGTTAAGCATCAGAGGAGCTGCAAAGAAAATTGAAATGGAACCTTCACTAAGTATTTCCCTTTGGTAGTACAGCAGTGGAAAATTAGAAAAGAAACGGAATATTAATACCCTATTACAGACCCAGAGGGGTTGCCATCTGAGTGCGTTACAGCAAAGGTAAACAGAAGTCTTGTGGCCCTTTTAAAGGCTGAGGCTGCAATGCTATGTATGGGAATAAGCCCCATTAAATAACATGGGACTAACTCCTGAGTAGACCAGGATTACTTCCCAGCAAGATTTTATTCCACCATGACCTTCTATGGACTGTATGCCACTTTCTTGGAAGTATGCATTGGGTCTTCACTGGACAGAGATGATATCTGGCTATGAAGAAAGAAAGGTTTAAAAAGCAGAATCAAATAGCCAGGAAGTACAGGTGGAAAATGCTATCAAGTCACAGCTAACTTACAGTGACCCCATTGAGTTTTCAAGGCAAGAGGTGGTGGTTTACAGTTTACCTGCCTCTGCATAGCAACCCTGGACTTTCTTGGTGATCTCCCATCCAAGTACTAACCAGGCTGGTAGCTTCTTAGATTGGGCTGGCCTGGGCCATCCAGGTCAAGGAAGGCAATACAGGGTGAGATGTAAGTATGTAAAACTCAAATGAGATTACTCACATGAGCACTGGTTGACCAAGCTAGTCAGCACCTGTAATGGTTGAGGTCCTTGATTCCGTCTTGGTGGTGGTGGGGAGGTTGTGTTAAAACTCTTGATGAGAAAGGAGTTAAGAGCCAGCTAACTCCACCAACTTTAGAACCGACAGCAGTGCATTACAAAATCAGCAGGCTCACAGAAATCAAACCAGATGGGCAAAACAAAACCATTAGCAGCCTGAGATTGCTGCAGGTAATCTATTGTTCTCCATCCGTGGAGGAAGGTCTCTTGAATGAGTTGTGCATCCGTCTTGCTCTGTAGGCAGGGCATATGCAGATTTTTTTTTTCCCCAAAAGCTTCCGCTCTCCTGAGGAAGCATTCAGTCCCACCCCATCCCGTTCAGTGTCTGCCAAGCTTCTGAAGAAGATGAATCCACCTCTAGTGTAGCAGTCACTGATGAAAATCAACTTCTCCCTGGAGACTGGTAACTGAAGATACTGTCCAGCTGAAGAACTGGTGAGGAAAAACCCAGATATCCTGATCAACGTGGGTGGTTCCCGTCTCTTATTCCCACCAGGGATATTTAAGCGTTTCAATATCCCATATAAGGAAACCTTCCTCCACTGATGGAGAATGCAATATTGGACTTGCCCCGATAGAAGATTGAAATGTATCCTTCCCCATATTGGGCAGAGGAGGAATTGGAGCAGAACTCTCTATGTTGATGGGGAGACTGGGGTATCTAATCAGACAGTTCAAAAGCTTCTCTGTAGGTGTCCATCAAGGATCCAGGGCACTAGAGAAGAAACAAAAACAGCACATCATAAACGATATTTGAACATTTAGCACTGACACCATATCATCCCTTGCAGAATTGTTGGACGTCCCGGTAAAACAGATTTTTGCTGGAACATACGTCAGCTTTGCCAGCACAGTTCAACCACAGGTAGAGTCACTTGTACATTCTGTTGACTAGAGAAAATTTGATCCTGTAGGTGCCACCTGCAGCTTGTATCTTCTGGCTGAGGCTTTAAAGAAGTAATATAATTGTAGCAGCAAACGGTGTGAGCTTGGAACCAGAATATGTGTTCAGACCTGGTCTTAGACAAGCAGCTCACCGGATACTCTTAGGCTGGGGTCTCCAGCATGGTGCCTTTGCCACCCGCTAATACCCATCGCACCCACTGATACCTTTCCTGTGCTCACCAAGTGTTTTTAGAACGTGGGTGAGTCCAGGTGGGGCTTTTGCCCAGCAAGGCTTGTGATCAGTCACTGGAGATTTGATTGGCTGCGCAAAGTTTTAAAAACATTGCTATGGCAGCAGCGCCACCACAGCACAAGCTATATGCAAGCTATGGACCGAGGGTCAAACATGGCTCAATATGGTACCAAATATGACTCTTGAAAAAAGGAAGATGAAATGGCCAGCAAAGACTTTGATGGGAGTTTAACAGCTTTTTAGAGATGCTTTGCAGAAAGGGAAATGATAGAGGTAAACAGCTGCCAGTAATCCAAGATGCATAAGTAACTGAGCAATAGATATAGTTCAGATTGGATTAAGGCAGTTTGTAAAACCTGTGAATCGCAGCAAATTAGCATACAACATAATAAAAGAGTTTACAAACAGATGCGAGAATTGAATGACATTAGCATGTGTAGTGAGATAAGAAACCAATATCTTTGTTAAGCCCTGGGGGTTCCATTGTCCTGAGTGTGGTGATAACTTGTAACTCAGTAATCTCCCATTCTAGTCTGTTTCTGAAATTCTTTTTGAATAAAATAAATCCAACTTTAAAGCGTATAGTTAATACAGATTAGCTTTCTGTTAGTGGTTTCTTCTTGTTCTGAAAATTTATGTAACTTGACTCATTAATTGTATAAAGTTGCAGATCCCTGGTATAGATGATCGGCTGGTTGAAGAGTTAGTAGCATTTTACTATTGGCCTTTTCTGTTTTGTTTTAAAGGTACCTAAATACACAAATGGAGCCTGCTGTGTAGAAACCTTGCCAAAGATCAGCCAATTGGACAGAGCACTGATTGACAAGTGGATGTCAGCGACAGCAGAAAGTGAAACTCGCCAGAAGGCGAAAAGGTATCGATTGTTTTTTGTGTTTTATGGGGAAAGGGAAAGAAGAGACAGATAGCCCTTAAGGCACATGCCTCAAACCAAAAATGGCTGCCACTATCTGTTGACTTCTGATGAGAGAGCCACTGCATGGAACACCGCTCCAATAATGGTGCTTCTCAGCTGTTCATGTGGAGATATTGTAGCATGGTGGTAGAACCATTTGCTTTGTATGCATAAATGCCTAGATTCAGCGGCACATCCAGTTGAAAGGTCTTGGGTAGTAGGTATGGATCAGAAAGGTAGACCTTTGTCTCCCTCTGAGAACTTAAAGAGTTGCTGTCCATCCAAGTAGACTGTAGTGGGACCTAGAAGGACTTTGTAGCAAATGCCTTCGTATATTCATTTGATGGGTCAGAAGAAAATCCAGCACACATGTAAGAAGACTGACATGTTTGTTCATTATAGATGTTTGATTATCTTTTTTTCTTGTAGAGAAATAGAAGTCATATTTTCTTCACCTGCCTGTTTAACTGCAAGTTTCTTAAAACCTAGGTAAGTAGTTGAATTTTTGCAGAAAGTTGGTGGCAAATAAGGTGTTTTGGGGTGGATGATGTGTTGCAAGCATTCTTGTCCCTCCTTCCATTATGCTGTATCTCCCTTAGGTCTGCCCTGGAAAATGGCTGCTGTATAGCAGTTGATCTACAAAAAGCAAGAGAGGTATTCTGTGAGCTTACCAGAAGAGACTGGATTGCTGGCAGGGTAAAGAATCTCCTAGTTTATGACAACAGGATGGTGGGTGCCGTTGGTAGAGAAATGTGTCCAGGAAAAAGAATATATTTTGAAAACAATGGAGAGAAATGGTAGATAGAGCTGTGTGCATTCCAGGCATCTACAGCAGCCCTCGCAGAATTGTGACATTTGGTATTGGTAGCACAATTTGTCATCCCAAGAATTGGTTTTCTAAAAAGAACAATCAAGTTTCTAGCCCTTATAAATGCTGAGATGAGCAAGAGATGACCCCCTGTGGAAGGCACCATGAAAGCTCTCCTGCTTCACATCACCTGTGGAGTACCAATGAGATAATGCAACTGTCCCAATGTCCAGGGAAAGGCACTTTGTGGATGCTCATAAACACCATTCTTTATGATTAATTTCCCATGCTTCCAGGAAAGCTCTAGCTCAGATTAATTGTATGTTGGCCCATAATTTTTAAAATGGTTGCTTTAAAATTTATGTGGAATTACACATGTTAAGAGATCCTTGTGTCATGTGAATTTCCCCTTTAGTGCATAAGGTGTTGTACAACTTGAGTTGTACAGCTTGTCCTGTGTCCTGGTGGTGCCATCACGTTATGAATTTCCTGTCCCCTACTCTGTTTCCTAGCCTGGTGTGGGCCAGGAACCACACAGCATAAGGATCAGAGGTCATTTCGGGCGGGGGAACGCAGTTCCCCCAGGTGAGGTACCGGGGGGCGGGGCATATGACGAAGCCCCGCCCCCTGCTTCCGTTTTCTACGAAATGACCCCTGATAAGGATGGCAGCCAGTGTTTCTGGTAACTCTTTGTTTTGTCCTGAAGTCCATCTATTCTTTATGACTGTTTAAGCTGTGGATTCAAAGGGGCATGTTCCCAGTAATAGACCAATTCTACACAGGAATATAGTATGTACTGCATTTCAGTCTGTACTTCACTGAAAAGTGCTGTTTTCAAAATGGCCGCAGGTCTCGTTCTCTCTGCTGAACAATTGAACCGTCTGATCCCCTCCCTTCCGTTGACTTCTCCTCACCAAGAGGCCCTTTCTTGCTTCCTTCTGCTGCCCGAGTGCTCTGCCGCTCTTGAAGCACAGAACCTGCAGTCCTTGGCTCTGCCCTTCACAAAAGTCATCAGCGGCATGAGCAAGCGCTCTTCAGACCTTCTGGGTGAGTTTGGAGGGACTCTTACCCAGTCCCTGATGGACATTTGGGGTGCACTACGTTATCTCCTTGATCGGGATGTCTCTGTCTTAACCTGGGAGCTGCCCTCTGACCCCTTGTGATACAAAGCACCCCTGACCTCCCTTCAAGGGTTAATGTTAACAGTAACAGGCCTAGTGCATTCTGCAGGTGTTACTAATTGGTTTCTTGGCCTGCAGGGTTTTTATAATCTTTAAGGCCAGAGATGAAGGTGGCATGGATAGCTTCTCATGAGAACCTGCTGCCCGTAGGATGGGGGGAGGATGGACAAGAGGTGATGAGGTAATTTTTTAGAAGCCTTTCAAGAGAGCAAGCTCTGATTGGATGTGATCCTCACTTGATGTTGCTGGGCCAAAACCTGTAATGTAGCTAAGGCCCAGAGAGAAAGAGATCAGTTGAGATTCCAGTGGACTAAAGGCCTAAACTATGACATGCTTGAATTATAATTGCCAGCAATGTAGAGAATGCCTGAGTTTTGGCCTGTGTGGCCTTGGTAACTAAGGCCCTTTTCAGACAGCCTATCTATTCCATTTTAGTAACTGGTTACTAAAGGAATTTTTCTGTCACTTCAGACAGACGTGTTTTAGTAACCAGCTGCTAACGGAATTAATTTACCTGTTCAGACATACCCACTTGTGTCCTGTTGGGGAAGCATGCCTGAGCTGTTGTTGACATAAACTGCATTCTTCCGTTTTCAACTTTCTTGGTATTTTGAATCACTGTGGTGTGCTGTGTGAAATGCCCATAGTGCTTCCTGCAATGCCACTCCCCCCCCCCCTTTTCATGATGTGGGGGATTCCTCGGAGATTTTTTAATAAGTTCCATGTGGAGTGCTATGGCGCTCAACCACGATCACAATTTAGCAAGATAGCAGCACCATTGAGATGCGGGGACTCCTATCTTGCAAGGCCATGTCCCCCCTCCTCTTTCTTCCCCACCACAAATACCAACACAAAGTGTGCAGTTATTAGAGAGAAGGGAGGGAGGGGAAAGAGAGGAAAGTGGTGATAGTGCAAGTTGGGGGGAAGGAAGAAGAAAAGGGGGGAGGGACAGAGGAGGAAGGCGGCTATGTCAGGATCTTGCATAAATGTGGGATTATGTTGTGTCAATGAAGTTTTAAGATGGAGAGAGCAAGTGAGGTTGGGAGTGGGGGGAGAGGAAGCCCTTGGCAGTTTAAAATCCTGTTTTTGAAGGCAAGTTGTGACATTGGGTGGTCACAGTGACAAAAAACCTGCAGATGGTTACCTCCAGGAGGAGGGGGTGTGTCTTGCCGGGGGGGGGGGGGCATGGGGGCCCCCAGTCATCAGATGGGTGTTAAATAACCAGTTTTCTGCTGTGAGATTGGGTCACTGGTGAATTACAGAAATCAGACTCTCTTCCTGCTCGTCTTGCTCCACCTCTTCCCTCTTCCTCTCTGTGATTTATGTTTGCAAATGTAGGAAACTTGGATGGTTGGGGAAAGAGAAACGATCCAGCATCAGGAGCATTTTAAAAATTATTTTTTGTTGTTGTTGTTGTGAAGGAGGGGGAGGGGGCAGAGGAAAAGGGTACCTGTTTGCAGGGCTGGAAGATGTGATGGGGAAAGGGAAGGGGGGAATAGGCATTTAAAAATCCAAGCAGCCTTTTTTTAACCCCCTGAAAAATCAGAGTGTGATAGTCAATGCTGCCTCTCCTCCTGTCCTGCAAACCTTTGTCAACAAGTCACTTAACAACCAATTGCATCTGGGCATGGATGGGTTAACATCAGGATGTTTGCTACAGAGATCTTCTGTCACACTAATCACAGATGCCCTGAGGGCCCCCCCGTGGGGAAGAAGAGGGGTGTTAAGAAAAATCCCCGAGTTGCCGCCACTCTTGTTAGGATCCAGCTTCTTGAATGATGTCTCCTCCCTTTCCTAAGCATGAGGGGCAAATTAGTGACTTCTCGCCGGTGGATCTTGTTGGAAAGTGTGTGGTGGAGGCAAGAGGCAAGTGTGTGGTGGAGAAAAGGGACAGGGAAAGAAAGCAGCACTGTTTGAAATTACCATAGCGCTTCAGAGACGGCTCATTAATGGAAGATCACTGTGTGAACCCTCCCGTCTTTGTATCGCTTTACTCAATGACAGGCCAACAACGAATAACATCTGGTTTAGAATGGTAATGTGAAAAAGGCCTAAGGTTTGTGCCATCTAATGCCAGCCCAAAGAGTGTTAAACTGTTGAGCTAGTTTTTCTTATTTTCTTGCTGTATGATTTTAGAGTACTGTGTTGGCTACAGAATAAATTCCTGTATTGGCTGAACCTGAAATACACTTTTTAAATCTTAAAAAATATAATTAACAGTCTGGTTACTTTGAGTCCAGTGGCACCTTTAAGACCAACAATTTTTATTCAAGGTATAAGCTTTTATGTGCAACCACACTTCATCAGATACAGTGAAACAGAATTTCTTCAACCATTACATATACGTAGAGAGAGGGTGGGGTGGGGTTTAGTTGCTGGTAAGTGCCAATTAGAGTCAAGACAGAGCCAGAAACAAAATTACCAGTCCATACATATAGGTAGAGGGTGAGCAGTAAATTATCTTACAGCATAATGAAGATGTTTAACAGATTCAAGGCTCAAACAAGAATAATAAGCTTAGTTCATATGGTAACCATTCTTTTGGGTTCAATTCTGGGGCAAAAACTGAAGGAAATAAATATGTCGAAATTGGAGATGGATGTATCCTTAATTGTAGAATGCTCAGCCTCTTGTGGGCAGCCACCATCCTCTGTAGAGTTACCAAACATAAGGTGTGGCCCGGACTTCTCCTTATATTACAACTGCTCCTTCACTACACAGATCAGTTCCTGTGGGGGGAAACGGCAGCTTCAGAGAGCCAACTGTAGGGTATCACAGCCCCGCTGAGCTCCCTCCCCAAGCATTGCCCCCAAATCTCCAGGAATTTCCCAAGCCTCCGTCAAAATTTCACAGGTGCTCACAAGGGTCCAAAAAGTTGGGAACCTCCGAGTCAGAATGTTAGGCTAGAACTGGGGAGACCCAGGTTCCAATCCCCGCTCTTGACATGTAACCCATTGGATAATCTTGGTTGAATCTCTTGTCTTGCACCCTGATCTGTCTCACCAGGTTTCATAACATTCCCAGCTGTGCAGTGGGTTGTATGGTGAAGAATGTGTAGTCCTTTAATCTTTGTTGATGAAGAGAAGAGCTGCCTATTCACTTCCTGCCTCGCTTTTTTTCTTCCAGAAAAATATTGGCTGTCCTTGCCAGTGCCCTTTTTTGACAGAATTGTTCAGATGTTTAAGAAGGCTGTGGTGTCTCAGCTTCCTTACTACTTCAGTTATCCCCTTTGCCAGGAAGTCATTCCGATCTTGGAAGTGCTTCAAAAACTATTCAAGGTAGGCATTATTAGTAACCTTTTTGAATGGCTGGGGGACGTGATGACATCATTTGTCTAGATGTTTCTGTGACGGAACAGGCCTGCTCTGGACCCCCTCCTTGGCTTGTCCCAATTCCTGGGGGGGACGGTGCTATTCCACTTCCTTCCACTAGGGTATGCTACCACCACTGCCCTCTTGGGGTCTTCCTGCCAGGAGGGACAGACTCCTGATACCCCTTCTCACACTGAGGCCCTCTCTCTAGTTTCCTGTGGTCCAGAGAACACTACCCACTTCAAATAGTAAAATATTTATTAAAAAGAGAAAAAGGTTACAAGCATATTTTTAGCACAGCACCAGGTCTTGCAACCAGAAGGACAAATAAAAAGTTGGTCATGATTGTATCCTCTGCCCCTGGCTCTAAAACGTACACTAGCTAGATGTTGATGTAGAGCAGGCAATTCCAAGCTTAGAAGGTTAAAAAAGGTTCTAAGGACGTCTCATTACCTCCGGCAACCGCCATGGCAATTCCAAGCTTAGAAGGTTAAAAAACGTTCTAAGGACATCTCATTACCTCCGGCAACCGCCATACAACTAGGCACAGCAGCATGTTCAAGATGGCCCCTGGCCTGTTGACCAGAGCTCAGCAGTCTGTCCTCTTCCAAGGACCAGCATCAAGGGACCCTCCCTCCTGGGAGCAAGCGCTTTTATTAAAACGCTGACTCCACCCATTTTACATCACTCTCCACCTGTTTTGACCTGGTCCGCCCAGGTCCAGGCTTCTCTTCCCGTTGTCTCCACAAAGCCCCTTTTTTGGGGGGGAGGCATCCTGGGAAACCTCCATACCTTCTGGGGAATCTCCAGCTCATTCCTGAAGACAGTCTCTGAGGCTGGTCCAGCCCAATGCCTTCCTCACTCTGTTCCCTGGCCTGGGAGAAGGGGGACGAGCTGACTCCTCCTATTGTCGCTTCTGCCAGATCAATTAGCATTTCTAAGGAGGTGGACCAGGTGCTTCTGGAATGCCATGGGCTAACTTCCTCCCAGCTCCTGCTTGTCTCTGAGCCCAGAGAAACCTCTAACGCCTGCTTGCCACCTCTCCAGGAGGCAAGGCATTTTCCCACAGTTTCTATAAACACAGTTTGTATACACGTCTTCGAGTCAGGTCATGGATCATTTCAGTCCACTCAGCCTAGAGGACGTTGACAGATTGCTCTTAACTGTACACCTCACCACGTGTCTCCTTCATCCATGCCCATCGTGGCTAGTTAAAGCTGATTGGACTGGGTTTCGAGGTGCCCTAGGGGAGATTATCAACAAATCCCTCTAAGAGGGTCAGTTCCCTGGGACACTTTAAGGAGGCCGTGGTCCGTCCCCTCTTGAAAAAAACATCTTTGGATCCGGCTGAATTGGCTAACTACCGGCCAGTTTCCAACTTGCCCTATTTGGGCAAGTTATTCGAGAGAGCCGTGGCAGCTCAGTTACAGGGCTTTTTGGATGACACTTCCACTCTAGATCTCTTCCAGTCTGGTTTTCACCGAGGACATGGGACGGAAACAGCACTGGTTGCCCTCACAGACGACTTCAGGAGGCACCTGGATCGAGGCAGATTGGCAGTGCTGTTGTTGTTGGACCTGTCGGCAGCGTTCGACACAGTTGACTATCAGCTAGTGATCTACCGCCTCACCGACTCTGGAATTCAGGGGCTTGCCATGCAATGGCTCGCATCCTTTCTTCAGGGTCGGGGACAAGGGCTGGCACTAGGGGAACATCTGTCCCAAAAGCATCCACTGACCTGTGGTGTGCCTCAAGGGGCAGTACTTTCCCCGATGCTGTTCAACATCTACATGCGCCCCCCCCCCCCCCCAGATTGCCTGGAGGCATGGGCTGGGGTGTCACCAATATGTGGATGACAACCAGCTGTATCTGCTGTTGAGTGGCCAGTCTGACTCTACACTGGAAGATCTGGACTGGGCATTACAAGCCATGGCTGGTTGGCTTAGAATGAGCCACTTCCGACCTTCGATGGGGCTCCATTGGTGCCAGCGCCAGAGGTTAGGAGTTTGGGAGTGCTCCTGGATGCCTCTTTAACAATGGAGGCCCAGGTAGCAGCCACTGCCAGGTCATCCTTCTATCATCTCCGGCTGATCAGGCAGTTGGTTACCTTCCTCGAATGCAGGGACTTGGCAACAGTGATCCACGCAATGGTCACTTTGAGATTAGACTACTGTAATGCTCTCTACATGGAGCTGCCCTTGCCCCAAATCCGGAAGCTGCAGCTGGTGCAAAATGCTGTGGTCAGGCTGTTGATGGGTCTCTTTATACAGGAGCCCATCCAGCCTGTGCTGAAAGCATTGCACTGGCTGCCAATAGCATACCGGATTCGCTTCAAGGCTGGTTTTGACGTTTAAAGCCCTTTATGGTCAGGGTCCGTCATACCTGAGGGACCCCCTTTCCCCATATGTTCCCCAGAGAGCACTGCATTCAGAGGCCTAAAACCAGCTGGCCCTCCCAGGCCCCAAAGATGTCAGTTTGGCAGCAACCAGAGCCAGGGCCTTCTCGGTGGCGGCTCCATACTGGTGGAATGAGCTCCCGGGGGAGATCAGGGCCCTGCGGGACCTACTACAGTTCTGCAGGGCCTCTAAAACAGAGCTCTTCCACCAGGCTTTTGACTAGGAGCCGCCTAAATACCGAGGAGTGTTTCTGTGCCCTGGCTATACCATCTTCCACCTGCCTTGCCGCAGAAATTAGTCGATCAATTTGAGCTGATATGAGAATACCACCTGGACCATCACTTTGCTCTTGCACTTTACTTGAGTATTGCTCCAGCACTTTAGGAAATGTTTATGACTGTTTGATATATGCTTTATGGCTGTTCTATGTATAATTTTGTGTGGTGGCTCGTGGTTAAGACGCTGAACTGCAGGCTGTGGAGGGTCAGTAGTTCAGCATTCGAGACCCGGGTGCCGCATGATGGAGTGAGCTCCCATCTCTAGTTCCAGCTCCTGCCAACCTAGCAGTTCGAAAGCAAGAAATTGCAAGTAGATAAATAGGTACCACTTCGGTGGGAAGGTAACAGCGTTCCGTGCGCCTTGGTGTTTAGTCATGCCGGCCACATGACCACGGAATCGTCTTTGGACAGCGCTGGCTCTTCGGCTTTGAAACGGAGATGAGCACCGCAACCCTAGAGTCGGATTCGACTGGCTTTTGAGCAAGGGAACCTTTACCTTTACCTTATGTATAATTTTAACAGTATTTATATATGTGTTTTATGAAAGCTGCCCTGAGCCTGCTTTGCGGGGAGGGCGGGGTATAAATGGAACTAATAAATAAAATAAAAATAAATAAATAAAAATATGGTGAAAGATAGGAAGGTTGAAAAGAGAGAAAAGGCTGGGCACCGCAATACTGCCAGCCCTTCTAGTGCCTGCCACATGTACCAGGGGAGGGGGGGGACACTGTGAATTTGTATAAATGCTACATTTGTCTGAACTCTTGATGGCATTTGTCGTTCAAGGTTAACAAGAAGGCGGGTTGCAAACTCCAGCTGAACCGAATGAACCGCTTCTATATTGATGACATCTCCCAGAAAATTAACCTTTTTGACGATTTAGCCAGATGGCACTCCTGGATTGATAACCTTGTGAGTGTTTGTGGTCTGTCCAGTTTGTGTAAGTGGTATAAACATATCCTACAGAATTTCTAAGGGTGCAGCGTCCTGTGCATCTGCACATCTTAGGAGGTTCCACAGTTCGAAGGGAGAATACACTCTATAACCATCCCAGTAACAGGACTGGACAAGATCTCTGCATGGGGCACTGAAGAGCTGCAGCTGGTCAGTAATGGAGCCGATGGATAAATAGCCTGATCCATAAAGAGCCAGAGTTGGGATGCCCCTAGCGTTGCCAGGTCCCACCTTGGCACTGACGGCAGGGTAGGGTTGTCAAGTTCCAGCCTGGAAAACTTTGGGGGATGGAGCCTGGGGAGGTCAGGGACCTCAGTTGGCTCCAGTGTCACAGATTCCACCCTCCAAAGAATCCGTTGTCTCCACGGGAACTGATCTTTGTGGTCTGGGGATGAGCTGTAATTCCGGGGGATCCCCAGGTCCCACCTGGAGTCTGGCATCCCTAGATGCCCCCTTTGGCCTTTCCTGTTCTGCCACCCTCCCATGAGTATTATTGCATTCCGCTTTTAACCACCCCTTTCGTTTCTATTACCTAAAGTCCTAAACCATAACTTTATGTGCTCTCTTTGTGGGAACTTTGAGAACATTATGGAGGTGTCACCCTAAAATGGCTGCCTGCCACGGGAAGCACTGCCAACCACAAAATGGCTGCCATGGGGAACTGGGGCCAGTCGCACATTGGGACGTTCCAGGCCAAGTGTCCTTCTGTGATGGAGGCAGCTGCTTCTGAGTGAGGGCTCCCTTGAGAAACAAAGGTGACGCCTCCTGGCCTCTGAGGGAGGCACCTCCTGCTCCAGCAAGGTGGGGAATAGCCAAATGTGGCTTTTTGCCACGTCAGCAGCCACCATGGTGCTCATAGGTGCCCCACTGGAGATCAGCATGCTACTTATTTCAAGTTCACAACACTTAATTAACCAAGAGTTGCATTGGCCTCTGAAGACTTCCTCTAAGCAAGAATTATGTTTGCTCCCGCCCCCCAGTTCATGCAAGGTGAGGGAATGACCTCTTATCAAGTTGTTTCTACAAGTGGACAACTCATTTGAGCATTTGTTTTGTCAAAGGGCAGCCATTTTGTGTCACTGGAATCCAGGTAGCAACAGAGCTGCAGTTAAGTGGCTCGCTTTGGAAAAGTGGCAGCACAGCAGGAAAAACTATCATTATCTTCCCCTGGTCTAAACAGAAGGCAGAAAACATGTTGATGCTGAGTAGAGGTTAATGGGCCAGAGACCTGGAGAGGGAAGACTGTCTTACCTATGGTCCCTTCTTTCCTTCCCAGACGCCTTTGTCTCTCATCTCTTTCTGCCGCTTTCCTTTTGTTTACAATCCCGTATCCAAGATGCAGCTATTCGGCCTTGAGTCTTCTTTCGTGCAAGAGGTAAGGTGTGGCACCTAGAATGCTGTTGCCAACTCTCTGTTTTATGTATGTATGTATTTAAAACACTTACTAGCCTCCTTTCTCCCTTGGGGACCCAAGGTGGTTTACAATATAAATAAATTATATTAAAAACTATTATAAAACCCCACAAAAAGTCAACAGTTTGAAAACTCCAGTTAGGGCTGCCACTAAAAAACTGAATCAAAAGCAGTCCTAAATCAAACTGTCTTCAACTGCCTTTTGAAGATTGACTATGAGGGGGGCTAGGCACACCTTGAGGAAGTTGTTACATAATTTTGGGGCTGCCACCGAAAAGGCCCTTGCTAATGTGAAGTCTTTTCCTCTCTACTCCAAGTGGTCTTCCAGCATAACGCAGGGAGGTAGGGTTGCTGGAGTGCTCTCCAAGAGCTCCAGGGTGACCAAAAGAGAGAGACCTTGATAATTCTCCCAGTCTCCCTCCCTCCCATGCCAGTTCAAAAGGCATGGAGTGAGTGCAAAGCCTGGGAATTAACTGCTGTTAACCACCACCCCCTGCTGCTTTATTGAATGGCCCTCCCGCCCCATACATCAGCTTAGGGTTGGCCTGAACAATGCAGCTATCACAGGGAGATCTCTGTTTTAACTTGACAGGTTTGTTCATTTGGAAAGGTTACCACATGCATTTGTCTTGCTGAGCTATTAGCCTGCTACCTCAAGAGTTATGTGATGATGACACGTGATCTTTCTAGCCCATGGCATTGAGAATGTTTGCATTATAATCCTGGGGAATGAGACTTCTGGTACCTTCCATGATTGAGTTCTGATTTCAGACTCTCTGAAAGAAGAGGGAATATCTAGCCACTTGTGTCTGTGGTTCTCTATGAAAATGTTAGTGCTTCTGTAACTTCTGGAATAACGCCAGCAATGACTTATGGAATGTGGAACCTCTTGACCTTTGGAGAAAAGGTTTGAAAAACTTTGCACCATGCATTGCAATGGTCAATACCCATTACTCTTGCCAGAGATCATACCAAGTATATAGTTTAGATGAGGCTCCGGGAGGACCCAAGCCCTTGCTGATTACAGCGGAATTTTTACAGGGCAGTTTTCCAGCAGGAACTATGGGTTATATTCAGTTATTTCCATCCTACGTTCCCCCCCAATGGGTACTCAAAGCAGCTTTCAGTACAAAAAAGGAAAATACAATAGGGATAAACAAGATAAATTGGGGAGGGCAGAGCAGGTCTAGCACATCTTCCTCCCAGCTCAAGGCTTTGACCCTCAGGCTAAGAGCCAAAAGGACAAGAGCCCTTTGGCTGATTCCCAAGGGTTTTTGCCTCTGGGCAAGCCCAGGCCTTAAATACCTGTGTGCAGAGGTAGAAAAACAAAGTTAGCAAAGGAGGACTGGAGATAAGGCCCTAGCCCGGATTTCTGCTTCCAAGAGGGAAGACCTTATCCAGTCAAAACCAGACTTGAGTCCAGTAGCACTTTAGAGACGAAATGACAACCACTTTCGAAGACAGTTCTCAGCTGCTGCAAGTTAATCACTTCTGCCAGTCTAAGCAACAATTCTGATAACAATCCAGCAGGTGGGGGTGATGACTTCTATAGTCAAGAAAGCTAACACTTAGGCAGAAAAACGCACTTAAAGGAGACCAGTTTCTTGACACAGAGTTAGAAGGGATCCTAGAGGTCACCTAATCCAACCTCCTTGCTCAGTGCAAGGTTACTACAGCAACCCACTCTGCTTAAAGGAGTGCACGCCTTTAAAAGAATGTTTTAAAATGATTGAAAAAAGCATTTACAGGATAAATTATTGTGGGGCTGGGCCTTTAAGAAAGGGGGCACGGCCCCCCAAAGCCTCACTGTATCTATGAGCCTGGTCATAGTATGCGTAAGGGCTCGAGAAAGGTGAGGAGAGGCCCATTTTAAAGTTGCAGGAGGGTCTGTGGTGCAGAAACATTTCCATGGTTCACCCGTCTATAGCTCCTTGCCCAGCTCCTTGCCCAGCAGAGGTCGCAATAGGCAATTGTCCAAAACTGGATGCTAAAATGAGTAGTTTTTTGGCTTGGCTTGGCCAGTTTGGTGTAGTGGTTAAGTGCGCGGACTCTAATCTGGGAGAACCGGGTTTGATTCCCCACTCCTCCACTTACAGCTGCTGGATGACCTTTGGCAAGTCATAGTTCTGATAAGAGCTGTTCTTGAAAAAAGAGCAGTTTCCGTCAAGAGCTCTCTCAGCCCCACCTACCTCACAGGGTGTCTGTTGTGGGGAGGGGAAGGGAAAGGAGTTTGTTAGCCGCTCTGAGACTCCCTTGGGTAGTGAAGGGCGGGGTATAAATCCAATCTCTTCTCTTCTTGGCTCTAGTAGCAGGTGATGGTGCGTGGGCAAATGATGAATGAGAGCATAGATAATTGGTGCTGAGCTGGATGGGTGGGGACCAAGGGAGCACCCTCCACAGTTATACCCTAGAGCAGCGGATATCCAAGGAGGTAGGTGCATGCTATGCGCCTGCATCCCTCCTGAGCAGGGGTCCCTTGGGGACAGATGGGATCTCCTGCGATGTAACGCTGAGGACAGCTGCAGATACATCATGCTTGATAGGATCTAAATGACTAAAATATTAGATAAATAACTCCTTTTTCCCTTTCATTTTTCCTCCAGTGCATAAAGAAAGAAGCTCACCAAAGATTACTCTACAACCGACTGAACAGAGTTGATGAATACCCCAAATTGCCTGTCTTTCTCTTGCGGGTACGGCGCCATAACCTTCTAGAAGATGCTTTTCAAAAATTGAGTCGGGTGGAAGATGTCTCTCTGAAAATGCAATTGTTGGTGAGTTGGCATTGGACTATATTGTCACTCAGCTCTTGGAAATGCTGTCAGCAATTGGATCTGAAGTGGTCGAAATGTGACTCCAGACCCAACTGTAGATTTTAAAGGACTTCAAGCAAGGGTGTCAAACTCCTTTGTTACAAGGGCTGGATCTGACATAAATGGCACTTTGTCAGGCCAGGCCATGTGTGTTACAAAATGTAATGACCAGTGGCCCAGTCAGTCCAACACTCTGTGTCACGAAGGAAAAAATGCTGTTCTTTCCATCACATACATCCCCTCACAGGTAGCTTGTGTGGCACACAAACTCCAGGATTGTGAACAGCACAGCATTAGTGGACAGGGATTGCCAGTATCATTGTACCCCTCCGTATAAAAGGTCTTTTCCTGCACAGTGAAAGGCCGAATCACACCACCACCCTTGGATGAGAAAGGTGATCGTAGTGACTGAGAGGGGATTTCAGTGAAAGATGTTGTTTGCTCTCTCTTTTGCCTCGCATTCCATGAGGTCAATTCCAGTATGTATTTTTTAAAAATCTCTTCTCTCTCTCTCTCTCTCTCTTTTTTTTGCAGGTTCAGTTTGAAGGAGAAATGGATGGGCATGAAACTAGAGGGATGTTGGTTGAATTCTTTTTGTCTGTGTTTGAGGAGATGAGCCATCCAGACTACGGGATGTTTATGTACTGTGAGAAGAATTCTCCTATGTGGTTTCGAACTAGGGTAAGCTTTTGCTTCAGGGAAGCTTCTAGGCATGAGGAATGGATGCAGAATGACACCTGCCTTCCCTGCCTATCATGAATTCTCAGCCTAGCTACCCCCACAAGATTGTTGTGAGCATAAAATAAGGCTGGGAGAGCTGTATATGTTGCTGTGAGCATCTCGGAGGGAGGACAGGACACAGTGTGATGGGTAGGTAGATAGAAAGTTAATGGTGTTTAACTATTTGGCTTTAAAAATATAAACTATAGACTACAGAAACTTGAGTTGACCTAATTTAAATTTTAGACATGATGGTATAAATATTAGAATACTGTCTTTGCTACATTTATAAATTTGTTTTCCCTGGCCTAATTTAAGCTCCTGAAACGAGATTGTTGGAAAGGATTAATTTTGTGGTAACAGTGAAGTGTTTAAATCCGGTTGCCAGTTTTGCTCCCTGGCCCATCCTTGTAAATATCATGAGACAAATACTTGGAGACATGTATAGAAGTTAGGACATTTGTTTTCCTGTTTCTCTGTTTGCAAAGGGCTTCCTTCACTCCTGGAACTCCTGTTTTTCTAAGCACAGTCCTACTGAAGATCTGGATGCTGCTCAATGCACTGAAACTTGCACATTTGGCTACTCATACTTTTTAGATCCTCTGAAGCCTATGCAGAGAAACTGGACCAGGCTGTAGTAGCATCAATGGCCTGGCCTGGCCTGCCCAGCTTACATGCTTGAAGTGGGCTTTAAACATTACAAGAGAGGAGCCAGTGGCTGTTCAAGTAACACCATAAGCCAGGCGTCTAGTAACTTTTGTTATTAGACGCTTGGCTTATGGTGTTGCTTGAGCATCAGTGTTGCTTTTATCTCCTCAGACTCACATCAGCTAACAAAATGGCAAAAGCTCCAGGGTCACAAAAACATCAGACGCATCTAGCAACATGTTAAAAACAATGCCCAACATTAAAAGCACAGGTATAATGCAGCCAAATCTGCCCAGACAGCTCACCCTGCGCACAATGCCCTCTGGAATGAAACCGTCTTACACTCTGACAGGCCACTCCAGTAGAAGGCATCTACCACAGAGAATGCCTTGACCTAACTGTGTGCAGATGGACAATCCTAGGCAAGGGTACCACCAGGAGAAGGCTGTCTGAGGAAAGCAACTGGTGCCCAAGAGTATACTGTGATCTCATGTTTTCCTTAATTGCAGCCTTCAGCTGAGATGAAAAGGTATTACCTCTTTGGGGTCCTCTTTGGGATGTGCCTCTACAATAAGGTCATGGCCAATGTACCTTTCCCGCTTGCGGTCTTTAAAAAACTGATGGACCAGAAGCCCTCCCTCGATGACCTGAAAGAACTGAACCCAGTCTTGGGAAAGTAAGTTGAGCTTTTCTGGACTGAGCTCCAGAATGTAATGCATTTTTCCATGCACATGAGAAAAGAAATCACTGAATCTGCATTCCAAACTACTGGTGTTCCCCGTCACCATTAACACCTGCTCTTCTGCTCACAAGTGGTTGCTGCCAGAGCCCAGCTTCCAGCTGCCCTGTTTTGGAATGAAATATGGCAGCCAGCTTACCAGCAGCCACTGTGAGCAGTGAAGACGGGGGCTTGACCTCCAATGCAACAGATGGGGGTGGATTGGCTGGCCACACCATTTAATACCATTGCTCAATGTTATGTTGTAATTGCTTAGGAAAAAAGCCGTCTGTCAGAGGGGCTCTAGGTTTGGGTTTCCTGCATAGACTCTGGGCTGTTGGACTGGATGGCCCAAATTTGAGTTTGAGTTTTTGTTGGCTTGGTTTTTATGGGTTTTGATCCCGCCATCTTCTCTGCTTGCTCAACTGGAATCCCCTTCCTCACTGCAACCTCTGTGTCCCGCATGGCTTTCCTATCTGTGCAGGTCCCACAATCCCTGACAGCTTTTTTCAGGGGTCAAACAGGGGCCCTTCCTCTCTCCTGCACCAGCAGATAAGCCAGTAGGATCCAACCTATCAATTTTTATATTGATTTTCAGATATCCTGGGACAACGCAGATGTAGATTTGATTCCAAATGGCAGATCAGTGGCTGTGAACAATGCAAACAAGTATGTAGCGATGATTTCCTTATTGTTTGCTTTGCAGCTGTCCTATTCCCAAGGGTTTCCTGGTAGACCTGTAATTAATAAAATGCGTGGAAAGAAGCTTGGGTCTAAAGATAAACAGGAGTCTTGTAGCACACCCTTGGATGCAGGGAAACATGAGGAGGTTCTTGACAGCACAAACCCCAGTCACTGTTTCTTTATGCAATTCTTTTAGTTGTCATACCAAACTCCCTCAAGGGGTGGTTCAACTCACCCATCTCAGGGTTACACTGGATTACACCAGAGAAGAGCCATGCCACACCCACCTACTTCAGCTTCTTTCTTCTCCCGCCAGCCTCTTCCTAGTTCCCTTCCTCCCTTTTTATATCCCCAGCTTCACACCTGGTCCTTGAATTAAGCCCTGCCCTCTTCTCTTTACCTTGCCTCACAACACCTGGTCCAGAGAGCCATTGCAAAGTCTGCCCTGTTGCAACTTTCTGAAAGACTAACAAGATCCCTCTTCATTTTCTTTGTTGCTGCAACAACCTGACATGGTTAGCCCTCCGGCATTATTTCCACTCTAAAGAGTAAGTGTATATTGCAATGGATAGATTCCTGGCCCCAAATTGAAATCTCTGGTCTGTGTTTATTGTTCAGTGGCTGACTTTGATCCAAGTCAGTCCCATTCAGTCTAGCCTTTCTCACAGGATTGTAGGGATTAGCATATGCAGTTCCTTCCTGTGAGCTCCCTGGTGGAAACAGACATTGGATAGGACAGTTTCAGTGCTATTTTGGTGGGGGAAAGGGCTGTCAAGTCACAGCTGGCGTACGGTGGCCTTGTGGGGTTTTCAAGGCAAGAGACGTTCAGAGGTGGTTTGCCATTGCCTGCCTCTGTGTAGCAACCCTGGACTTCCTTAGTGGTCTTCCCATCCCAAGTACTAGCCAGGGCTGACCCTGCTTAGGTTCCAAGATCGGCCTAGCTTGGGCTATCCAGATCAGAGCTAGTGATATTTTAGGAATAGGTTAATTAAATAAGTTTAAGAAATGTATATATAAATGTGTATAAATTCAAGCAGAAATGTAGCAGTGTAAGAGCCCTCTTGTGGTTATTGTTTGTTTTAGTTAGTGCAAAACTAATCAACAGTCAAGTTGCGTACTGCTCTGACTTTTCAGGGAGGTACTGATTTTCAGAAATCCAGGTTTTCATTTAAGAAGCTAGACTTTCTTAGAAGACTACTGCAATTTTCTATTTCTTCAAAGGAAGGACTTTGTCAGCAAGTACGTAGATTATATCTTCAACAAATCCGTGGAAGGAGTTTTTGAAGAATTCAAGAGGGGTTTTTATAAAGTTGTGGTCAAACGGGTCATTAACTTCTTTGAGCCCCAGGAGCTGATGGACGTGGTCATTGGGCTTACAGATTACGACTGGGAAGTATACGAAAAGGTTGGTGCAGCTGCTGCCTTGACTAGGATCATTCTTTATTGCATCTGTAAAGTTTCACTCACATCTTGTATTTCCCCCCTCTTATTTTTCAAGAATACTGTTTACTGGGGTATATATAGTCCGACACACCCTACCGTCAGGATGTTCTGGCAGGTTTTCCATGAGCTAACTTTGGCTGACAAAAAAGGCTTTCTGTGTAAGTATTAGAAGAGTTTGGGTTTTTTTTAAATCTTACCATTCCTCCAAAGAGTTCAGGGGGTATACATGGCTCCCCCGCCCCATTTTATCTTTACAGCCTGCCTCACAGTGGCTGTTGGGCTTAGAGATAACAGTCTTTACTATGGATAGGGTAGTGATGTCCTCATAATTTGGCAGGCTTTTGATCAAAGCAGTATTACTGTTGGCAAGCTGCTGTTCCAATCTATCCTCACAACAACCCTCAAAGGTAGATCATACTGAGAGACAGTAAATTGCCCCAGGGTCACTCAGCAAGCTTCATGGATGAAATCAGTAGGGCTCCAAAGTCCTAATCCAATGGTCAATCAAATACATTTAGACTGTCTTTCTTAAAATAATGGTACCCCCCCCCGAGCTAAGATGTCTTTTGCAGATGAGTCCAATGAATCCACCTTGGGATTCTTTTTCAGCTTAATGTGCTCTGCAAGATCAACCAGGTCTTAAGAGCATAAGAGGATCCCTGCTGGATTGGGCCAATGGTCCATCTAGTCCAGCATCCTGTCTCCAGCAGCCTGGCTCACACAGTGACCAACCAGCTTGGCAGTCACTTAAAGGGACTGTCCTTTTAAATGCCTGCCTTCTCCAAGCCGCACGACTCCACAGCGAGTGAACTCTGAAGGCATGGTTCACTTGCCACAGAGTCGCATGGTTTAGAGAAGGCAGACATTTAAAAGGAGAGTCCCTTTAAGTGCCTTTCCCCCACTCTATTGGAACAATGGAGGATGGGGGGGACCTTCTTCTGGGGCCCATAAAATTGGACCCCCGGTCCAATCTTTTGGAAACTTGGGGGGAGAGGCACCAGCAGATATGCTGCAGATTTGGTGCCTCTACCTCAAAAAATAGCCTCCCCCCCTGCCCTGAGACCCAGATACCCTGGGATTGATTCTCCATTATAGCCTTGCTCACAACTTTTATACTAGTAGATTTTTGGCTCACAAAGTAGAATTTTTGCTCACAGCAATCGACAGCTTAGAGGGAACATCGGTTGCAATAGCAGATCTCCAGTCATCACCTGGAGATTGGTAACCCTATAAGTTACCCTGGGCAAAGTACATTCAACACACTTGGAACTGTCCAAATGTTTTCTGACGGCTTATGCGTGTTGTCTAATTTGTGTCTCTTCTTCTTCAGCGTTTGTTTCAGGAATTAACCGGATCCCAGTAGTGGGAATGGATGCCATGGTGCTAACTATTCACTCGCATAAGGCGCTTTCAGAAGATCACATTCCTGAGGCTCAGGCCTGCATTGGTCTTCTACTTCTGCCTCCTTATTCCACAATAGGAAGACTGAAGGAGAAACTTTTCCAGGCCATCGAGAACAGCCGGGGCTTCGGCAAACAGCCAAACTGCTGATCCAACAACACAGATAGGAGCTTTGGAATGAGAATTTGGTAGTTTAGCCTTTCTTGGATTGTTGAGAAATTTAAGGAAATCTGCAGGGCCTTCACGTGGTTTAAATCTGTTGATTGTCACTGATTTCCTCTCATAGTTCCTGAAGCTTTGGGGGTTTTTTTGCTTATCTGTAGCCTGTTTTCCGAAATACATTAGTAATTAAACAATTTCAGTTTGCGCTCAACAAGTTCTCAGTGGCCTTTTTCTTCAGTACAGGCATCCTTCATTCACTTGGTTGTTCCTGAGAATCTGGACAATGTTCTCCTAGACATCTGCATTCCTAGGTTTTCCCTGTTGTCATATCTTTTTTTTATTTAAAAAAAAAAAAGGGAAAGTGTTTTATGGTTGTTTTTACAACTTCATTGCAGAAGCACCATCAATATCAGGTGTGAAATTTATACTGTTGTCAGTCTGACTTGGGGTGCTTCCACATGGTGATGATTCTGTATAGCTGTTGTTATTGCTGTGATTTCAGAGGCCTTTGCAGGGGCAATGAAGTGTGCACACAGAAGTTTGCTCTTCTCCCTCTTTTCTTGCCGTAGCCTCTGTCCACGGCTGTCATTTCCCCTTCCACCTTCCAGGGAGCTTCTCTCCGGTTTTAAAAAGAATCAGTAAATAGCTATAGCATTGTAATGTAATGATTTATTACAACAATTTACTTGTTTCTGGTTTTCTTTTTTAAAAAAATAACTTTCCAGCCCTCTCAGTTGCGGAGTTAGAAGCTGAAATATACAGCCTTCACCTTTTCTCTTCTATGACTGCAATGAAAAGGGCAGAGACTACTTATTGTGTGTGTTTTTTTAAATGAAAGCTGGGAACTAGTACATTGTTTCAATAGATTGGTATGACATTACAATGCTATACTGATCTATCTGACTGATGTTTTTTAAAAGCTTGAAAGGTAGCTCTCCAATGGCATGGGTGGGGGAATGATTGTGGGAGCTGGAAAATGACAGTGATGGGGGTGGGACCTACAAAAATATGTGCCTTCCATACACAGTGTCCAAAAGTTCTTTCTGAACTTTCCAAAAAGATCATACCGCATCAGGTTTGGGGAAAGGTGCAGCAATGTGGGCGAAAACACAGAGGTAGCACAGACCTAGAACAATGTCATGTGGTTGCTTTTGAAAACAGTGCCGCTATAAGGAAGCCAACGTGGAGCACATTTATGTGGAAGCCACCCTGGTTTGGAGTATAGTTTTCATTGTGGTTGGTGAGTTATGTGAGATCCTGGCTATTCACTGTCTGCTCACCTGTCCTGCTGCCATTATTTTTAACATCTGCCATAAAGTAACCGTCTGTCAATGTCATCTCTACAGTGAAGGAAGTTTCCTGGGCTTGCTACAGAGGGGGGCGGGGTTCATTGCCACATTTGCCACTGCCTGGTCAGTTTGAAAAAATTATTACGATCTTGCTTCAATGCTGGTACGGACACATGCCCTTTGGAGAAAAAAATCATCCCCTCCTTAGAAGAGATTGGATTTATACCCTGCCCTTCACTACCCAAAGGGTACAATCTCTCTTCCCTTCCCCACAACAGACACCCTGTGAGGTAGGTGAGGCTGAGAGAACTCTGGGAGAACTGCTCTTGAGAGAACAGCTCTGAGATAACTTGTGACCGACCCAAGGTCACACCAGCAGCTGCTTGTGGAGGAACGGGGAATCAAACCCAGTTCTCCCAGATTAGAGTCTGCGCTCCTAACCACTACACCAGACAACAGTTGCAGTAGACAAGAGGGGCAAATAGAGGACATTCAGGAGGCAAGAAGGAGATTTGTAAGAATGATTGGCCTCTTGCTAATGTATCTGATATTGGAAAATAAAACAGGAGTCCAGCATAAGCCGTCATGATGCTAAGATCACTTCATCAGATGCATTGGAATGTAAATCCTTTGGGCCAATTTATAAAAAACAGAAAGGAGGGAGAAGAATGTTACAAAGAGAGGCTGGCTGAAAAAAAGATCTAACCCAAAGAGTAATTATTTCACTCAATATGGGTGGGAAACACTCTTATCTGTTGGTTAGGCAAACCATAAGGCCTAGTGTAGGATGAAATAAGATGAGAAGGTACACTAGGAAGTTACAGAGGTATAGAGGAAATAATCAGCATTGGAATATGCAAGATATTAACACAGTGATGCAGGAAGTACCTTCTGAGGACCATCACAGATTTCTTTGCAGATTGATGTTTACGTTGTCTACCCAGCCTGTCTGATAGAAGCTACTCCTAATAAAATATCTCCTGCTTTATATTCTTCCTGCCACCTCTTTGATTGCTGCATTACACGGTTGGTTATTTATTTATTTAGGGCAGCATATACAGCATTTAAGCCTCAGTGTAACCTTGTGAGGTGGGTGCAGTCAAAGATAATCATGCCTGCTGCTGCTATCAGCACTGACTCCTCAGAATGCATAGGGTGGACTTTTCCAGGCCATCGAGAACAATCGGGGCTTCGGCAAACAGCCAAACTGCTGATCCAACAACACAGATAGGAGCTTTGGAATGAGAATTTGGTAGTTTAGCCTTTCTTCCATTATTGAGAAATTTAAGGAAATCTGCAGGGCCTTCACGTGGTTTAAATCTGTTGATTGTCACTGATTTCCTCTCATAGTTCCTGAAGCTTTGGGTTTTTTTTGCTTATCTGTAGCCTGTTTTCCGAAATACATTAGTAATTAAACAATTTCAGTTTGCGCTCAACAAGTTCTCAGTGGCCTTTTTCTTCAGTACAGGCATCCTTCATTCACTTGGTTGTTCCTGAGAATCTGGACAATGTTCTCCTAGACATCTGCATTCCTAGGTTTTCCCTGTTGTCATATCTTTTTTTTATTTAAAAAAAAAAAAGGGAAAGTGTTTTATGGTTGTTTTTACAACTTCATTGCAGAAGCACCATCAATATCAGGTGTGAAATTTATACTGTTGTCAGTCTGACTTGGGGTGCTTCCACATGGTGATGATTCTGTATAGCTGTTGTTATTGCTGTGATTTCAGAGGCCTTTGCGGGGGCAATGAAGTGTCCACACAGAAGTTTGCTCTTCTCCCTCTTTTCTTGCCATAGCCTCTGTCCACGGCTGTCATTTCCCCTTCCACCTTCCAGGGAGCTTCTCTCCGGTTTTAAAAAGAATCAGTAAATAGCTATAGCATTGTAATGTAATGATTTATTACAACAATTTACTTGTTTCTGGTTTTCTTTTTTAAAAAAATAACTTTCCAGCCCTCTCAGTTGCGGAGTTAGAAGCTGAAATATACAGCCTTCACCTTTTCTCTTCTATGACTGCAATGAAAAGGGCAGAGACTACTTATTGTGTGTGTTTTTTTAAATGAAAGCTGGGAACTAGTACATTGTTTCAATAGATTGGTATGACATTACAATGCTATACTGATCTATCTGACTGATGTTTTTTAAAAGCTTGAAAGGTAGCTCTCCAATGGCATGGGTGGGGGAATGATTGTGGGAGCTGGAAAATGACAGTGATGGGGGTGGGACCTACAAAAATATGTGCCTTCCATACACAGTGTCCAAAAGTTCTTTCTGAACTTTCCAAAAAGATCATACCGCATCAGGTTTGGGGAAAGGTGCAGCAATGTGGGCGAAAACACAGAAGGAGGACAGACCTAGAACAATGTCATGTGGTTCCTTTTGAAAACAGTGCTGCTATGAGGAAGCCAACCTGGAGCACATTCATGTGGAAGCCACCCTGGTTTGGAGTATAGTTTTCATTGTGGTTGGTGAGTTATGTGAGATCCTGGCTATTCACTGTCTGCTCACCTGTCCTGCTGCCATTATTTTTAACATCTGCCATAAAGTAACCGTCTGTCAATGTCATCTCTACAGTGAAGGAAGTTTCCTGGGCTTGCTACAGAGGAGGGGGGTGAAGGAAGTTTCCTGGGCTTGCTACAGAGGGGGGCGGGGTTCATTGCCACATTTGCCACTGCCTGGTCAGTTTGAAAAAATTATTACGATCTTGCTTCAATGCTGGTACGGACACATGCCCTTTGGAGAAAAAAATAATCCCCTCCTTAGAAGATATTGGATTTATACCCTGCCCTTCACTACCCAAAGGGTACAATCTCTCTTCCCCTCCCCAGAACAGACACCCTGTGAGGTAGGTGAGGCTGAGAGAACTCTGGGAGAACTGCTCTTGAGAGAACAGCTCTGAGATAACTTGTGACCGACCCAAGGTCACACCAGCAGCTGCTTGTGGAGGAACGGGGAATCAAACCCAGTTCTCCCAGATTAGAGTCTGCGCTCCTAACCACTACACCAGACAACAGTTGCAGGAGACAAAAGGGGCAAATAGAGGAAATTCAGGAGGCAAGAAGGAAATTTGTAAGAATTATTGGCCTCTTGCTAATGTATCTGATATTGGAAAATAAAACAGGAGTCCAGCATAAGCCATCATGATGCTAAGATCACTTCATCAGATGCATTGGAATGTAAATCCTTTGGGCCAATTTATAAAAAACAGAAAGGAGGGAGAAGAATGTTACAAAGAGAGGCTGGCTGAAAAAAAGATCTAACCCAAGGAGTAATTATTTCACTCAATATGGGTGGGAAACACTCTTATCTGTTGGTTAGGCAAACCATAAGGCCTAGTGTAGGATGAAATAAGATGAGAAGGTACACTAGGAAGTTACAGAGGTATAGAGGAAATAATCAGCATTGGAATATGCAAGATATTAACACAGTGATGCAGGAAGTACCTTCTGAGGACCATCACAGATTTCTTTGCAGATTGATGTTTACATTGTCTACACAGCCTGTCTGATAGAAGCTACTCCTAATAAAATATCTCCTGCTTTATATTCTTCCTGCCACCTCCTTGACTGCTGCATTACACGGTTGGTTATTCATTTATTTAGAGCAGCATATACAGCATTTAAGCCTCAGTGTAACCTTGTGAGGTGGGTGCAGTCAAAGATAATCATGCCTGCTGCTGCTATCAGCACTGACTCCTCAGAATGCATAGGGTGGGTTATAGAGAGAAAAGGAGGAATGTCAAACCGAAGCCAAATTGGGTAATATTACCTGGGGAGTATAAGAGACCCACAAACCTTTTGTCATTTCCCTTCAGGTGAAGAGTTGGGATTAGTCCATGGCTCAGTAGCAGAGCACCTATTTTCCTTGTGGAAGGCCACAGTTTTAAACCCCAGCTAGAAGGATCAAGCAGTAGGTGATACGAAAGATGCTGGAAAGTGACCACACAATACAGGCCTTTACGGACCAAATGGGCTGACAGCTTCATGCATTCCGTCCCATTCTTTGACAGCTAAATTCAGATACAGCAGACTGAGTTTACAGGTAGCCACATTTGTCCAAAGATAATCCAATAATACTTATTTAAACCAGCCAAAATAACACAACCTAGTGTGGAAACTGTCCAGTTCTCCAGATTTTTCCTCATGCTGGATGTTAAACATGCACACACACATAAAACGCAGCAATTAGCCGAAAGGATTTCTAGCTGTATTAAGAAGGGTTGCCGGAGGCCAAAAAACTGAGCTGGTTCACACTAAGAACATAAGAGAAGCCAATGTTGGAACAGGCCAATGGCCCATCTAGTCCAACACTCTGTGGTCACACAGTGGCCAAAAACTCAGAACACTGGTTCTGAAATACCTGAGGATTTGAGGGTGGAGCTTAAAAGAGAGGGCTTTAGGAAGAGCAGGGACCTCAGCAGGGTATAATGCCGCACAGTCCACATGGAAACTGTCCAGTTCTCCAGATTTTTCATCATGCTGGATGTTAAACATACACACACACATAAAACACAGCAATTAGCAGAAAGGATTTTTAACAGTATTAAGAAGGGTTGCCGGAGGCTAAAAAACTGAGCTAGCTCACACTAAGAACATAAGAGAAGCCAATGTTGGAACAGGCCAATGGCCCATCTAGTCCAACACTCTGTCACACAGTGGCCAAAAACTCAGAGAGAACACTGGTTCTGAAACACCTGAGGATTTGAGGGTGGAGCTTAAAAGAGAGGGCTTTAGGAAGAGCAGGGACCTCAGCAGGGTATAATGCCGCACAGTCCACCTTCCAAAGCAGTCATTTTCTCCCGGAGAACTGGAATATTTTTTTAAATAAATTAGGACTACCATATTTTGGAAAGCAAAAAAGAGGACACATTTCCCGATTGACTACTTCAATCAAGTGATCACTATGACAATTCTCATTTTAAACACCCCTACTATTTAAGATGTGATAATTGCTACTAACCAGGAATATTCCTAACCTTCCAAACCAAAAAGAGATTTTAATCAGTTTTCTTAAAAGAGGACAGACACCAAAAAAGTACATGTCCTCTAAAAAGAGGGCATCTCGTAACCCTTAAATGAATATGTTATCTATAGATTTGTTGTAATTTCGTGAGATCTCCAGCCCCCTACCTGGAGGTTGGCAACCACACTAGCAGTTCTTCGGGGGGGGGGAAAGAAAGCCTCCCTAGGTTTCTTCCCGTTGCAGTAACAACAACCCCCTGCCAACCTTGCCCGCTATTGCGATTGCACCCTTATCTACATATGCAAATTTGGGAGGCGTGGCACTTGTTAAGAAGAGTCATTCTGGGGGCGCTTTCCAAGTAGGGCGAGTATTTTTCGTCATCCTCGCCGATCCTTTTCTTCAGCAAAAATCCTCTGCTGGCGGCGGTTGCAGTTTCCATTTCCCCGTGGGCGCCGCCTACCCGGGCTGCCTGCCAAAAGTAAATCCAGCAAAAGGAAACGACGGCCCCCCCTGCCTTGGCTCCTCCTCCCCTACACTGATACTGGCCAGGATCTTTGAAGGCGGCTTCAGAGGCAGACTTGAACGCGCAGACAGAGGTTTGCAACTTGACTGCAGCTTGAAAGTTCGCGCAAAGTAATACCCGCGCCCTTTGAAGAATAAAAGTCGGGAGCTTCTTGTTTCTTGATTTGGCGGACTCTGCATAGGGCAGCGGCGTCGGGGTGTCCGGCGAGAGAGTCGGCCGGAGAAGATGCCCAGGCGGCGGCGGGCCCCTAGGCACCGGGCAGACTTGCCTCCGGCTGCCTCGTCGTTGCTCTTCTTCCCGGCGGCTGCCTTTTTCCAGGAGGACCCTAGAGCCATCCGCCAGATCAGCTGCAAGCGAGGCTGCCTGGCGGTGGTGAAGACCGACGGGACGGTTGCCGTTTGGGACGGCGCGGAGAAGGGGGGTGGCCAGAGCCCCACGAGGAAACCCAGTGAGTAGGGTGGGGTGGAGAGATCTGCTCTCGCTGTGACCTCTTTTTCATCGACTGGTAGCCGATTAGGGGTGCGACCCTGAACGTGGTGGGAGATGTACTTGTGGGTAGGCACACCTGTCACATGAAGAGGTCATTGGTCTGCCCGATGGAACAAGCTTTGAGTCCAGTGGCATCTTTGAGGCCAACAAACTTTAATTCTGGGTATCAGCTTCTGTGTTCAAGTTGGCTTGGCAGAGGCTGCCCAGGATCCGAGGTGTGTGGAGGGCTTTCACATCACTGCCTCCTTGAGGCCTTTTTAGTGGGAGATGCCCAGGATTGAACTCGGGATCTTCTGTATGCCAGGCTGATGCTCTAGCTCTGAGCCATAGCCTCCTGACCTGAAGAAGGCTGTGAGGGAGCTGTGACTCTGGAAAGCTTGCATCCTGAATCTCTTGTTGAGCTCTAGGGTACTATTGGACTGGAATCTGTCCCCCACAGTGGACTCCCTGTGCCTGAGAGCCAATAAGTTTATGCCATGCCATGGGATTGTAAGTGGTCATCCTGGATCATAGAGTGTTGAGGCTGGAGTGGCATTTCCCAGACTTCTGAGGGAAGTCTGTTAACTTCCACTGGTATGCACCATTATGTAGGAAACCCTGTAGTTTTACTGTAGGTGTGCTGTAGGTCAGTGGCTAGTTCAGCACCAGAAAGACTACATCACTGCTGAGTGGCTCATGACGGCCAAGGTGGCTTGTAATGTCAGTGGCCCATTTTGACAATGATAGCTTCTCATCAGCCCCTGTTCTTCCTCACACCGCCTGCTGATTAGAGTTTGGTTCCCCTCTCCTGCGCACTGGCACTCTGCAACCAAAGTTGGTAGCCCTCCCACAAATCTTACACTTGAAAAAAGTTTATTTTTAGCATAAAAGCAAGAATATGACCCACTCTCACCAGAAGAACTCCCCCTGAGTTTCTGTTTGAGACAAGGTTCTGATGGCTGGCCACGCTTCCGTATTGGAATGGAGGAAGTCCAGATTAGAGACTCATGCAGAGATGTAGCAGGAGGTTTTCTGTTGGGGACAAGATGTTTTGCTACACAACAGTGGGACATTTGGGAGGTCATTCATTCATCGGGTTGCCATAATTCGGAAGTGACTTGACAGCGCTTAACACGCGCGCGCGCGCGCGCACACTGCACCAGCAATATTTGGATGATGCAGAATCATACACAGCAGATGCACTAGCCCTCAGCAGAGACTGACTAGAAAGAGGGGAGGTTGGACAGGGAATCATGCAGAGACGTAAGGGGGAGGCTCTGCTTGGGCAGGTGCTTTGCAGGTGCCTCTAATTCAATTAATTGGTTTCTCATGATGTACACTGATAAAGTATCCCGTTTGACCATAGAGAATCAGTGTTGTATAGTGAAGGGGTTGAGCTACATCTGGGAAGACCTGGGTTCAAATCCTCACTGTCATGCAGCTCACAGTGTGACTTTAGGCCAGTCACTGTCGTTCAGCCTAACCTATCTTACAGGGTTGTCGTGAAGATAAAATGGCAGAAAAGAGCCATGAGCTTATTGGAAGAAGGATACACATCTAATAAATAACAGAGCTAAGGAAGCGTTCTCAGAACGTGTTCTGGGGAACACTGAGGCTCTATCAATCCATCTATCATATTCTTCTTGCCCTTGGTTCTCTCCTCCACTGTTTTATCCCCACAACAACCCTATGAGGTAGTTCAGATGGGGACTGCAACTAAACTGGACACTCTTACTGCTACAATCTGTTAGTTCCATGGAGGCCACTGTTAGGATTGCCTGGGGGGGTGGGGATGGGTTGGATTCAACCAATTTTTCTGCTGGTGAAAAAGTGAGGAGGGAGCCCCTGTGACCACCCAGACTATGCGACCTAAGTGGACAAAAGTCATGTAGGATAGAGGCTTCAATAGGGGAGGGAATGTGGTAAGCATCTGCTTAAAAGGGCAAAACATTTTTTCTCCAAGTTGTTGGCAACCCTGCCCTCTGTGCAGCACCTGCAGCTCTGCTTCAGTGAGAGGATGAAAACTTTCTTTTTATTCTTGTGGGGGAAAGAGCTGGCTTTGTTTTTTTCCCCCCAAAGCTCTCCAGTCATTTGAGGATTTGCAACATAGGAAGCTTGTTTTCAAGTTTCTGTCAGTTAGCCTTTCTTCACTCTGGTTTTGTCATCTGCTGAGTGAAGGTTTTATTTCCACACCAGTTTCAGTTTCCATTCTGGAGTGAGGGTGGTGTTATGGTCAAGACAAGAGCCTTAAGCAAATGCCACAAACAGCCTAGAGAGCGGGCCTTGCTTTGTTTACCTGATGGAGAGAATGTAGCAGAGCTCATGTTGGCCTCTTTTTTTTCTGTCAGGGTGAAGGAAAACACAGCCATCAGTCATTTGGTGGTAACTGTTTCTCCACAGTGGTGAACAGGCAAGAGATTTTTCTCCAAGCCTGCTTATCAAGAGTCAGCAAGATTCAGTTGAACACGTACACAAAGCCCACACAGCTTCTGAAGTTCAAATTTTGAACACTGAGAGCCAGTCTGATCAGGTGCCAGTCTGAAATGAAGAGACCCAGGTACAAGTCTCCACCCAGCCACAAAGCTCAATGGATGACCGTGGGCCAGTCTCTCAGCGTAACCTAGGTCACAGGGCTCTTGGGAAGAGAAAATGGAGGAGAGAGGAGGTTGCCCTGAGGTTGCCCTGAGCTCCTTGTGCAATGTGTGAGAATAAAATACAGTAAAGAGCATCACGCTCCAGAAGAATTTTAAAAATTCTTTGTCCCTCGTTAACACTGCATTGAATTTACATGGCATTTCTCAGAAGAGAAAATGGTCACTCCTAAATTATCATAGATTTTGGCCAAGGAAAGAAGATGCATTCATTTCTTCCCTAAGCTTCGCAATCCATGATGGGGGCAATGGAAGTTGATTTTATGAGGGTTAACTGAGGCAACTAATATTCTTTCTTAATCTACCGGGTGTTATGAATCACTTTTATGTGGAGAATAGGGCAGCCAGTCTGCAGATGGGGCCTGGAAATTCCAGATTACGGAGATCAGTTCCTCTGGAGAAAATGGCTGCTTTGGAGGGTGGGTTCTATGGCATTGCACCCCACAGAGTTCCCTCCCCTCCCAAAACCTTCTAATATTGGGGAGAAAGACAAGCTAAACTGGGTTCTGGAATAATTATTTATTATAATTACTATTCGTTTATACCCTACCTTTCTTCCCAAGGGAGACCGAAAGTAGCTTACATCAGTCTTCTCCGTTTTATCTTCACAGCAACCCTGTGAAGTAGGGTAGGCTGAAAGCATGTGAGTGGCCCAAAGTCATTCAGCAAGTTTCCAATGCAGCATGGGGATTTGAACCTGGGTCTCCCAGTTCCTAATCTGACAGTCTAGCCTCTAGACTGTGCTGGTGCTTAAAGATGCCTCCTGACTACAGGTAGTCCTTCTCAGCCCAGTCTTTGGTTTCTGAGATTTTACTAGGTAGGTATTGCTCACACTCTCTCTTGTCTTTGCAGCCTAGAAACAGGCTTTTAAAAAAAGACAGCTGAAATTCCCATTATGCAAAATTCTACATTCAAGTATCAATTTCTGCACTTGATAGGTACAGTTGTGGAACACAAGCAATCCCACCCAAGCATTAGTATGTTTTTTTATATCTAAACAGCACAACAGTTTCCACATGGGGTGGAGAGAGTGGACAAAAATACATTTTTCTCCTTCTCCCAAAATACTAGAATTCGAGGGCATCCAGTGAAGGGCAGTAGATTCAGGACGGACAAAAGGAAAATACTGCTTTACACACGGAGAGTGATTAAAATGTGGAATTCACTGCTAGAGGACAATGTTCCCTCTAAGCTGTGGAGTCCTGTGAGCAAAAATGCTACTTTGTGAGCTACTGGCATTAAAGTTGTGAGTGAGCGATTTGGCTACGGCATAAATTAGTTTGCTCTGGAGCCATCCTGCTTGAGCTGAGACAAAAATGCCTGAGCCGGAGGCTAAAAAACTGTGAGCTAGCTCACACTCACTCAGCTTAGAGAGAACACTGCTAGAGGATGTAGTGATGGCCACAGGAACAGGCAGCTTTAAAAGAAGATTAGATAGATTCGTGGAGGGTTAAGTCTATCAGTGGCTACTGACTGAGGGGAACCTCCACATTCAGAGGTACTAAACCTCTGAATCCCAGAGCCAGGAGTAAGCATCTTGGTCTTGGCCTCTATGCCGTGTTGTCAGCCACTGTGTGAGACATGATGCTGGACTAGATGGACCATTGGTCTAATCCATCAGGGCTCTTCTTATGTTCTTAAGACTCGGTTGATCTTGCAGGGCACATTACGCTGAAAAAGAATGCCAAGGTGGATTCACTGGACTGCGAAACATCTCATCTGCTCATTCTCTCATCAGAAGGAAAACTTTCTGAGCATAGTCTTGACTTCCAAAATGTTAAGTCACCGCCAAGGTAAGACATCTTGTTTTACACAATATGCAGTTCGAATGCTGTCTGGAGAAATATGATGTTCCTGAAGCCGTATTGCAGCGTAGAAATAAGATGTCCATGTTCTCCCACAGCAAAGTAGCTAGACTGCATGTCGTTATGCAGAAAGCTGAGGTTCTTTATAAACCTTAATAACAGCTGATGATCTAAACATAACTGATTGTGGATATAGGTTATTGCTCTTATACTCTTGCTTCCCCGCCCCCCAAGTGGCAGAGTAAAGGTACAGAACTACATTGTGGGTTGCACCTTTTAAAGCACAAAATGTTGTATTCTTGAATGACTTGCCCTAATCTCCCATGAGGAATGTTACCGTTTGAAATCTCTTGTGTGTGCTCTTCTCTTTCAACAGACTGCTGACAGAATTAGGAGACAGACGAATTGTTCAACTTGCATGTGGTGACCATCATTCCATGGCCCTGTCAAAAGGTATGATACATCATTCATACAGCCAGCGTTTATGACAAGTCGGGATGTTAGTCAGCAAGTCTGAGAGTTGTGGGGCCCCATTTCCTTGCTTTTCAAGAGGTGCTGAACACGGGCATGGGGGAAATTCAATTTTGACACTCCTTTTAATAGCTCCTAGGGGTGGTCATTGCCCTCACCTGGATAGCCCAGGCTAGCCTGATCTCATCAGATCTCAGAAGCTAAGCAGGGCCAGCCCTGGCTAGAGCTTGGATGGGACACCACAAAAGAATACCAGGGTTGTGACATGGGGGCAGGCAACGGCACACCATCTCTGAACCTCTCTTGCCTTTGGTGACATGGGGGCAGGCAATGGCAAACCATCTCTTAAACCTCTCTTGCCTTGGAAACCCTGCATAGTTGCCATAGGTCAGCTGTGACTTGACAGCACTTTCCACCACTAGGGGGTCATCAATTCATCGGGCTGCTGCCGTACGTCGGAAGTGACAGCATTTAACATACACACAAGAGGGATGGTCTGTCTTGGAGACAAAAAAGGCAGAGTTAGAGACCAGGAGCCACTAAAATTTAGGAGACAAAAGGTTAATGGTTTTGGGGGGGCCCCCAGGTCTTCCTCCTGGTCTCCCTCCTTGTCCTTAGTGCAGACCCCATCTTTCTGAACAGTCGAGATGGAAAAGAAGGAGGAAAGGACTGTGGCCCATCCTCAGGTCATTATGGAACCTGGCAGAACACAGTCCTTCCTCTTCTCCTACTAGGTTGGTCCCAAGTAAGCAGAGAAGTAGAAAGTTGCCATCTCTGTGACAGCCAGACTGTTGTGGGGGAGGTTTGTGAGAGGACTTTTAACTATAGCTGCGGTGGCTCAAGTGGTTAAGACACTGAAATGCAGACTGTGGAAGGTCAGTAGTTCAGCAGTTCGAGACCCGGGTGCCACATGACGGAGTGAGCTCCCGTCTCTAGTTCCAGCTCCTGCCAACCTAGCAGTTCGAAAGCAAGAAATTGCAAGTAGAGAAATAGGTACCACTTCGGTGGGAAGGTAACAGCGTTCTGTGCGCCTTGGTGTTTAGTCATGCCGGCCACATGACCACGGAAACGTCTTCGGACAGCGCTGGCTCTTCGGCTTTGAAACGGAGAGGAGCACCGCAACCCTAGAGTCGGATTCGACTGGCTTTCGAGCAAGGGAACCTTTACCTTTATAGTGTGAACAGGAACAGGTATGACAGCTGTAAGAACATAAGTGAAGCCCTGCTGGACCGGACCAGGGATCCATCTAGTCCAGTGTCCTGTTTCATACAGAGCCCAACCAGTTGCTGGGGGTGGGGGCATCAGACAGAGCATGGAGGCCAAAGCTTTAGGCTGATGCTGCCTTCCAGTGCTGGCATTCAGAGGTCCGCTGCCTCTGTATATGGAGGTTCCTATTCCTCTAAAGAAACTTCCCTCACATAGATACCCAGTTATGAGCTATCTGTCTGTACAGGTTGGACTAGAAACCTGCCTCTGACAAGCTAGTTTTCCATGGGTAAGGAGATTTGGGGTGGGGTGGGGGGACTTTAGGAGAAGAAGAGATTAGATTTATACCCATCACTACCCAAAGGAGTCTCACAGCAGCTTACAGTCTCCTTTCCCTCCCCACAACAGACATCCTGTGAGGTAGGTGGAGCTGAGAGAGCTCTTTCGAGAACTGCTTGTGAAGGAACAGCTCTGAATGAACTCATAACTGACCCAAGGTCACACCAGCAGGTGCATGTGGAGGAGTGGGAAATCAAACCCGATTCTCCCAGAGTAGAGTTCGCGCTTCTAACCAGTACACCAGACTGTAACCTGTGAGTCCTTTCTGCCCGCTCTCAAGCTCAGGTGGTTTAAGGATGTTTTATGAGGATGAAATTGTATAATCCCTGGGAACACATCCCTCGCTGCTGCCCAGGCTATTTAGAGGAAGGTCAGGATATGTTGATGGCTAGTTGACATTGGCGTTCGAATGTGTTCTGAGTGTGTGCAACTCTTGTACTTCCCTTTTGTACGTTGTATTAAGGCGGACAGCTCTTCGCCTGGGGTCAAAATGAATATGGTCAACTTGGCGTGGGAAGAGAAATGAGCTCCGCCAGGGAACCACAGCTGGTGCAGGCGCTCGAAGGCATCCCTTTGGCCAAGATTGCAGCCGGAGGGTCTCACAGCATGGCTGCCTCTCTGTCTGGATCAGTCTACTCTTGGGGGAAAAATGCCTTTGGGCAGCTGGGACTTGGACATACCAAAGGTGAGCAGAGTCAATGTGACGGGATAGTGAAATCCCAACCATGAACACTGCCTTAGATGGGGTCAGGCTGTTGGTCCGGCTAACCCATTGCGACGTCCCTTTTTCACTTACACAGAGTGCCTACCGCCCTCTACACCTCTGTTGCTCAGGTTTAGGGTTACAAATAGCTCATGCTGTTGATAGGGTTGCCAACCTCCAGGTGGCACCTGGAGATCCCCTGCTGTTACAATTGCTCTCCAAATGGCCAAGATCGGTCCCTCTGGAGAAAATGGCTGCTTCGGAGGGTAGACTCTATGGCATTATACCCTGCTGAGGTCACTCCCCAAACTCAGCCCTCCCCAGGCTGCAGCCCCAAAATCTCCAGCTATTTCCTAACCCCAAGCTGACAACTCTAGTAGTCACACTAGCTACCCTTCTTGTCTCTTTTAAAATATATGGAGAGCCATGACCATTTCACCCGTCAGGTCTGCCCTCACACTCACGGAGACATCTGCAGACAGGGTAGCCCAGCCCCCTTTCATAACAAGCCCTCACTCACACAGAGTTATTGGGGTTGGGGCTCAAACACTGTTCCATTCAAATGCTGCCACCATTTATTCATATCCTATAATACATACATAGACTGAGTTATTACATTGTGTGTG